TATATAACATTCAATACATCAAGTATATCAGTCAGGTTTGATTTCCTAGACTAATAAACTGCAAGAAACGTTAATCTACAGGAACTAATTAGATCAAACGTCTCAAAACGTTAAAACTATACAATAATATTGCTCAAAACCACCTTTCCCCTTATAAATCCCTTACAGCTAGCAGTGCATGATCAAACACCTGATCCTCAAAACATGAAACCCTTCGGACAGCCATGGGTGGTTTGGCTTCTGACGGTGGCGTTAGCCTCCATAGTTTTCACAGGCAGACGGTGGAAGAGCCTTAGCAGAAGAAAGCCCTCCGGCATTGATTGCGCCGGAGGGGACACCATGGCCAGCCTCGACGACCATAACCTGGCGATTTCTCTTCAATATGCTGCTCAAAAAATAAGTGATCACTGTGTGGAAGAGATTTTAGAGAACATTTTTATGAAGAGTCTTAGGTTTGTAAGTCCAGAATGCCTCCTTGAACTGGAAGAAGCAGAGCCAAATTACCACAATGACTTGGTCAGAAAACATGTAGCAATGATATCATTCTTCGCCAGAGATCATAGCTGGTCGTTTTGACATTGAATTAGGATGGTGTTTTCGTTTATGGGTTTATAATTAACTTAAATTACCATGTTATTCCACGCCATTAAGATGGTCGTCCTTTAATTATTGTTAACCTCAGTTCCTCAATGTGCTTAAACATTGCCTTGTAATATTTCCCCCACTTATTGGGCTTATTGGACTCAGGCGAAAGATCGGTGCTATGCTTAGAAAAAACAAGTCAAGGCTCACCTTGCCCCAAAAGCAGTCCAATTTGAAATATAGGCCAGCTAGCTTGTAGGCTAACTTCTCACGGGCTGCTCTGGCTTGAGCGAGGTGGGCGACATCATCTCATCCAACCCATTATAAAACAATTTTAAGTTTTGTTCATATAAATGGTTATATTGAGAGAGTTTATCTTTATTCCGAACCCGTTAGTATTTAGCAATCTAATGCTGTCTCGGGTTTTTAAATATATTGACTCAGTTAATTAATTTGAAGATACTAACAAAGTTAAAAAATTACTTAATTGTAGCATATTTTGCATGACCTTTCTGAAAATAATTATGTGTATCATTAGATTACTTCTCTGGTTCTATTTATAATGCATTTAGAGAAATTTTTTAATATATGTATACAATTTTACTCATAATTTATTATTGTGTTGATTTTTGTTTAAATGAGATATAATATATATTAAACAGAGATAAAGTTAAAAAGTTATTGAATTTTAAATAGAGTTAACAAAGTTTTAATGTTTTTCTTAGTCTATGTAAAACATGTTAGAAATGATTTATAAATAAGACTAGAAGAGTATATATTAGTTTATAAGTTAGGCAAATTAGTTTGGATAAAAATAATAAATGTAAATACTATAAATCAATTTTTTATTTTTTTTTCATCTCCCCAATTCTCCTTTTATTAAGAATCAAATGAAGTATTTCTTCTGACCCTAAATGAAAGACTCATTTTATAAAAAAACAAATTATATTACAAACTAAGTATTACATTTAAGGCTGAAGGAGTATTAATCATAATTTGTATTCAACTCGTAATGTGGGGAGTTTTTATGTCATTAAGTCTTGACACAAATAAATTATAGTAGTATTAATTTAATTTATTTATTTTTAAAAAAAACTTATGTGTCAGCCGGTTAAATGCAGGGTAATGTTGGGGGAACGTTGGCCTAACACTGACATCCAAGTGGGATCCTATTATCCTGCCGATGCTATATACAGGAACATGGAGTTCCTGTATTTTCCGAATCCCAAATTTTCTGGTGGGCCGGAGGCGGAGCTATGAGCGGCTCAAAAATATAAGTCAGTCTGGCTCGTTGCAGGGTCACTCAAGCAGCATCTTGAGGGCTCCTAGATGATCGTTCGTAAATACCCACAGCAACATCCCCTTCGTGCACTAGCATACACCAAATCCTAGTCTCTTCCATGCTTCTCTCGTTTCTCTAATTCTCTCATTTGTGGTCGTGGTGGACGCGCCGAATGTGAAGAAAAGTGCCAAAAGTCTGGAGAAAAGTGAATCCAAAGGAATTAATTAGAAGAGAGAGAGAGAGAGAGAGAGAGACAGACAGAGGGCGAGATAAATGAGCAGTGGAAACCGAGTTTTGTTGTGTAAAATCAGTTTCTTCGCTCATCTTCACCATACCTTCCTGTCTTTCTTGCACTCAACTTAGATCCAAATTCGTTGCAGCTCGCGCCTGGTCTCCCGCTGCTTCTAGGCTTTATCGCCGAATGGCCGCCGCAGCTTCATCATCCTCCCGTCCTCGGTTAACACCACTTCGGGCAATGTCAATGCTTCTTCTTCGCCGGTCGACGACGCAGCTTCTTCTGCTTCCTCTCCTGCCATTGATTTCCTCTCTTTATGTCACCGCCTAAAGGTGCTTCTCCTTTAGGTTCTTTGGTGTTGCTTGTTGTTAGTTAGTTCTCGGTTTAGTTATCCAGTAGGAAAATCTCTGTTTCGGAGTTTTCTCTATAGCCTAAATGGATGCGAATGTGAAATGCTATACTTCTGTCTTTCTGTCTTTTATTCTGATGTCAGTTTCCAAATTATTTGTTCTAATTCATTCTATTAGTACTTCGATTAAGCATATTTTTTCTGAATTTCAAGGTGCCGTGAAGATTGAAAACATAGAGTAGGTGTTTTGATAATCATTAAATTTGTCGGTTTGATTTATGCCTTTAGATAAATGCAGGCTTAACCTTCCTGACTTCGTTTCACAATTATTGTCTGCGTTTCGTTTGTTGTCTATTATCGTCGTAACTACTTGAATTCTGTGTCGGAATTAGACAACAAAAAGAGCAGGATGGATACGTAAAGATGTTAAGGATCCAGAATCAATAGCGGATCATATGTATCGAATGGGTTTGATGGCTCTGATTGCTTCAGATATCCCTGGCATAGACCGAAACAAGTGAATTTCCCCTCCTCTTCCTCAGCTGTAATGCTTGATTACATTTACATTAGCATGTGGATTGTTCTATTATTTTTTCATGTGGGCACGTATTAAAGTTCGAATGAGTAAAAATTCTGAAACCTAGTTGTCTGTTATTTCCAGGTGTATAAAAATGGCTATTGTTCACGATATTGCTGAAGGTATGATGCTTTGCCTTTGATTGCCTATAACTTCCGCATATCTGGTAAAAATCGTTTTTTTAAAGTGGCCGAGTATGGATGACTTTGGATGGAAAGTAACGAACGCAAGGTGGAGAATGAGTAAATGCTTAGACAAATCGGGGTTGATTATATGTGGCTCATACGAAAAATAATACTGTGTTGCGAATGAACCATGGAAAACGAGAGAATTTTGTTCTGTTAATTGCCCCAAAAAAACCCACTCAGGCACGGGCCTTTTGTAACTGGCACATTCTACTGTCTGAGAGGAAATGCCTTTAAATCTACTTGAAAGAATTGGATCCATTTTTTGAAGCCGTTGATTTGCTGCATGCTTGCTTAATCGTGCATGTTTTTAGCCCTACCGATCTTCTGAAACCATATTTAATAATGATAGAAAGACAAATAGTTTCTGCGTTGTTTCGGGTACCTCAAATTTAATAATGATAGAAGGACACATTATTTCTGCAATTTCGAGTATGTGAAATTACTGCAGGCTAATCTTTGAGCTTATAATACCATTTGCATTTCTGCCCGATACTTTCTTTCTGAGCTAATAGTTGATGCTGCTTTCTTTTTTTCATATTTTTCATAGCTATTGTTGGGGATATTACGCCATCAGATGGTGTTTCAAAAGAAGAAAAGAGTAGACGAGAACGAGAAGCACTTGATCATATGTGTAAAATGCTAGGTGGAGGATCTAGAGGTACTTCCATGTCACTACAAAAATTGTTTGTCAATGATTGGATTAAGTAAACTCCCTCTTGATGTATCTTCCAACTGGCTTAATGAAGCATCGGAAGTAGCTGAGTTATGGATGGAGTATGAAGCAAATTCTTCACCAGAAGCTAAATTTGTCAAGGATCTTGACAAGGTTGTGCCTTTGAGAACTTATTTGATGAATTTGTCAATGAACGTTGTTGTGATGTTCTCTCTTACTTTCTGTGAAAGTTGGAACATTTTTCATAGATGGTGTCCAGATAAAACACAGTTCTCTTTGAGTTATAAAAGCTATCTGCTTATATGATGGAGAGAACAGTGGTGGGAAGATTTAAATATTTAGAACGTGGTGATCATGCTTCAAATCTGTTACTTTATTCTGTTTGCTTGTTTCCCCCAAGGGGTTCAGAAAGGTGCAATTGGGCTACATTGCATTTTCAGGTTGCCACCAGCAAAGCTTATGCCAACAAAGAAACAAAAAACAGTCGTGCAAATAATATCGAGTTTTTCAAAGTTTTGTCGAGAACTTCATTTGGTCATGATAATGGAATATTTTAGCATGAAATCTACATTTCTATTTGGCTGTTAATATTTGCAAACTTAGTTAATCTGATTATATTAATATTTGCTCTTTAAAGGTGGAGATGATACTTCAAGCCTTAGAATATGAAGATGGTGAGTGCTTGCTTCCTCTTTCTGTTTCGTCTTTGTTCACTATATAATGTTATGGCTTCTAAAACTCTGTTAAATCACGCAAATTATCATTTAATCTTCAAAACATCAAACATCTTCCGGATAAAAATCATTTTAGCAAGGCTCTTGTGTACCCGATATGACATTGAACTTTGTTAAACTTTTTCTCCATGGTGTTCTTGGGTTCCCTATGAGATATAGTTTCCTTGACTCATATCTGTGAAATTTATTTAGAGGCTACAGTTAGTTGTACGCTGAAATTACCATGATGAAGATGATAATTAAGCAGTTGAGCATTAAATTAGTATTCTATACTAATATTTTTGAGGCAGGTCTAAGAACTGTTCTATCCATGGTTTTGCCATTGTCATGTTATATCCTTTTCTGTAGGATATGTATGTTGCACATATTGGCTTCTGGTGAATCTGTACCGTTAACTACTATAATTAGGAATGTCTTGATTACTTTCAATGTAGTCTGTAGAATAGTAACTTCCCTTTGACAGAATGCATCTTGCCAAACAGATATTTGAAACACAGTTTTGATCTATAAAATTTAGGAAGTTGGAACATCTTTCACTGTTTGGAACTTTGGCAGTTTCATTATGCTGCATCTTTCACTCATCCATGTGGTCTCGATCTTCTGAGTTCTGACACATTCTCTCATCGCTTTTTGCAGAGCAGCAGAAGGATTTGGATGAATTTTTTGAGTCAACTGCTGGTATGGGTTTCTGCTTCATCTAGTTCTAGTCTCTGCTTCATCTAGTTCTGCTTCATCTATATTTTAATGCTTCTTCATGCTATTGTGCAAAGCAACCCAAAATGGGGCTCAAGGTGACCTTGGGAAAGAAACTTTCGTGCAAGTGAAGAGAGCAAAAAGCTCACTATCTAATATACTGAGACCATCTTACTGTTCTTTGACATTGTGCATGATTGCTTCATAGGAAGATAAGGCTGTTGGATTTTGAGTGAATTTGGAATTTAGATTTTCAGCCCAAACGTTCAAGTGTCTCTTTTTCTCCCTTTCGTTTTACTGTCAAATTTTAATGCATTTTGTTGGCTAACAACCTCTGATTTGACTGGGAAATCGCGGGTTGTCCATAATGCTATTATTTTAAGGATGCAATTCTTTTTGGGCCTGCATAGCTTGCCGCTGAGCATTGTGTAGTTTGGGTGCCACATTAGACTGTGATTCTGATATTCAAATTTTGTTGGGTGATCTGGAATTAGATCCTTCCATTGGTTCCTTCGCATGTTTTCTCGAGATCCAGAAATTATAGGACGATGTATGAAGATGGATGACTCTTAACACATGTTAACAAAGTATCTAATTAATTATTTGCTTATTTTAGTGATGTTAGTATTAGTAGTTTATTCGTACTGTTCTGTCATCTTCCAACAGAACATCTGAATGGCCTTACGAATTCTCTTGTTCCTTTTTCGGCAGGGAAGTTTCAGACTGAAACGGGCAAAGCTTGGGCATTGGAAATAGTATCAAGGAGGACGAAAAATCATCACCCCAAGTTACACTGATATTTGATCCGGTTCTTGTGTTCTTATTGCAATAATTGGAAAGCTTGGTGGTTGAGGTGGAAGTTGAACTGGCAGCGATGTGATAACAAGCAAAGAATCCCACGCTGGGTGCCCAAGGCCCACCAACAGGCTGAGAAATGGTGGCTGCGCAGGAAGCAGCGGGTCGAAGTACAACCCGCTTTCATTAGTAACAGAATATTAGCTAACCAATATAACCTACGTGCTCATCCAATTCTGAGCTTCCTTTGACATCTTTGAATACTCTTAGACATTTTTTTGGGCCTCAACATACCTTTGGTGGTTAATGATCTCAGCGAAGCCTATATTGATTTCTTGTTTACATGTTTAAGGTTTTTTTTGGGAACTATATTTACATGTTTAAGTTGATCTAAGGGTTAAACGAAGTCGTAAATTTTATTTATTTACTGCCTCTGGTCCTTAATATACAAGTTAGTTAATTAATTTGAGTAGATTGAGAAAATTAGTTAAGTTAGTTACTTGTATTAAATAAGTGTTGTTTTTCTTAAAATATCTTTGCTAATCAAGTATATTGATTAAAACTACTATTATTACAAAGATTATTTGGGAAAAAAATAGATAAGTATGATAAACAAAATTGATTGAAGTCTTTGTAATTAGGATTAAAATAAAAGTCAAATAAGCTTTTATATTAAAGATTGGAGGTAGTATTTTGCAAATCAATGCCTTTGTGAAAAATCTTATGACTGCGCATCCTTAAAATATATAGCCATGAGGATCAGGTTGTTGGATTTCTCTCTGTTGGCGGGAAAAATTGATTTCAAGAGTAGTGCATTGCACTTGTAAGGTTTCCACTCAAGAACGAGGAAAGAAGCAGTGAGCGGAAACTGCTATATGATTTTTTTTGGTTTTGGGTAACAGACAAGCTAGGCTTGAAAGAGAAAACTAAACCGCAAACATCCTGATAAGCTTTTGCAATTGACGCAGTAGATCTTCCAGTATGCTATTTGATTTTTCATTCTAATTGGCTGTAGATGCATGACATTGTCCAAGTTTTTTTTTTTGGGCCCGCGCATGGGAATTTTTTCGGCCCGTTTTCATTCCATTCTAAAACCCAGGAATAATCCATCCACTATATGAAAATGTCAACCTTGTCTTCAATCAATGTTTCCTTGAAACCAACGGATTAGATATAACAGAATAGGTTAGTCTCTCATAACGTGATAAGTCAAGGTTTAAATTCTTGCTGAGAGAGGCACCCATATTTAGTGTCTGATAGTGCCTCGAATAGGATTACCTTTAATAAGAAGATACCTATGCTTTAGCAAAAAAAAAAAAAGTGTTTCCTTCAAACTATGTTCGACGGCTGTATACAGTTTTAAAAATCCATGGTAGTGATTAATGATAATACTCTTTCGGTCCTAAATATAAAACCTATTTTGTGGTATAAATTACACTATAAAATATGTTTTATATTTAGAATCAACAGGCCTTATATTTAGGATCAGAGGATAATCAATTATAATCAATAAATCATCGACTAATATATCAATTATGATTAAAACTTTCAAGGGAAAATTACGTACAGATCTCACAGAAGAGATTTTATTCATCTAAGGTCTCACGAAATATCAAAATTACTGACAAGTCCCAAAGGACCTTAGAGTAATATATTCTATTTGTAAAATGATGTTATTGCCCCTCACATTTCAAATTCACATTTACTCTGTCATTGCATTTTACAACTTCAGCAGCAACTATTAACAACCCAATGAGAAGGTGTTGACAACCTAAGCAATATCTGTTAGCCACTTAGTTTATAAGATCACATAACCTCCACATAAGAGTAAATTATAACCAAATAGTATAATACAACAACTTTAACACTAAAATGGGAAGCTTTTTGAAATCATTAAGAACTTTAACTAAATCTACTAAGATTATAACAAAATTTTAATGTGAAAATCCATTGACAACTTCAACGGTGAGTATTAATAACCTAAGGAGAACTGTTAACAACTTTAACAGTGTCTGTTAACAACTGACTTTATAGGATAATATAACCTCTAACAACTATATAATATTAACTTTAACACTATTTAGTTATAATTTAGTTAGTTATAGTTAGAGGTTATATTATCCTATAAAGTCAGTTGTTAACAGACACTGCTAAGGTTGTTAACATTTTTCCTTAGGTTATTAATACTCACCATTGAGGTTGTCAATAAATCTCGGCATTAAAATTTTGTTATAATCCTAGTAGATTTAGTTAAAGTTCTTAATAGTTTCGAAAAGCTTCCCATTTTAGTGTTAAAGTTGTTGTATTATACTATTTAGTTATAATTTACTTTTATATGGAGGTTATGTGATCTTATAAAGTAAGTTGTTAACGCATACTGTTTAGGTTGTTAACACCTTTTTATTGGGTTGTTAATAGTTGTTGCTGAGGTTGTAAATCGCAATGACAGAGCAAATGTGAAATTGGAATGTGAGGGGCAGTAAGGTCTTTTTACAAATAAAACATATTACTCTAAAGTCCTTTGGGACCTGTCAATAATTTTGACATTTTATGAGATTTTAAATGAATAAAATCTCTTCTGTGGGACCTATGTGTAATTTTCCCATATTAAAACAACATCAAATATTCGGTTCATTCAAGTGTTTCTTTTTCAAGAATCTTTATTTTCCTATAACGACTAGTTTGCAAAAATCGAGTATAAAAGGAATACATGCTGAGTTGCGTCTTCAGAATCTTCAGCCATTTTTCTTCGTCTTCTTCAGCGCTGAGCCAATCAAGATCGCATTCCCTTCCATTGCCCGTCGTCCATCGGAATATACTGACAAAAAAAAAATTTTACGAAGTTGTGCATAGTTTGCTCTGCTTGTTAATCTGATTGACATTTCTCCATTGCGTTGCTGCAACAAACCCGAGCTTTACTTTTGGTGCTTTAGCCAAGCTTCAATGGCCTCCTCATAAGGTGATTTACTTACCGTAATGTGTTTGTGCACTTATTATGCGTTCCTCCTGCATGCTCTAACTATGCCCGTCTTTCCTTCGAACAGTGTTTCCTGGTCCATACTCTCATTCTCCGATGACGGAAACAGAAGAACGTCCGAAAGCTTACACTCTAGTGGAGAAGGCGTCTGAGGAAACGTCCATTCTTGTCCGCCATTCCAACCTCAATCAAGGCACGTTTCATTCTCTTTTCGATTTTTTCTTTTTAACTTTCCCCACAAGTTATAGAGTAATTCATTTTAAATTTGATTTTTCCTTTGAAGATCCCGCGAAAGAGAGTCGCCGACAATGTTCAAGAAAGAAGTCCAAGAATCGGCACATGAACAAAGCCACAGAAATGCCGCAGGCGATTCTCAACCTGCAGGACGAGAAGAACAGAGAATCAGCACTAAGAAAGCTCAGCAATTTTCTTCTTGAGGTTCTGCTTGAGAGTAGTTTCTTTCTCGTTCATTTCCATATCTAGGTTTCCGTTGCATATCTGGTTCTCAGAAATACTTGTGATTGGAACTATCATTCACTTGTTATCTTCTATCCATAATCCACATGAGTTTCAATTCTGCAAATGGGTTTCATTCTTTGGGGTCATTTTTCATATTTTCTCGTTTCGATAGATTACATCTCTTTGCGTGATCAAATGAAAATTAAGACTAATGACGATTCTTTGGCGTCTTACTTAGAAATTTGAACGATGAAAATTTTCTGACACTGGTTTTTATTGTGAGATTTGAGATAGAAGAGGGAGCAAGATCCGGATAATTACTACAGCATTGGGCATATGTTGTACCATTCCTGCAGTACAATGACTATTTTGCTACAGGTACGTGTTCCATAAAGGCATCAATTACGCGTATCATCGCTAGTTTGGCACTGCTTCTAATTCTTTCTTGAATAAATTTAGGAACAGAGCAATGGTCAAATAATACTTATTACTGTTAATTCTGTTGTTATTTGAAACAGGAGTTGTTGACGTTTTTCAGAATGATGGAAGATGGAAGTCTCACTGCAAGAGCTTCCAAGCGTTTGGCAAATGTTCTTACCTTATTCCAGGCAATTTAGATTTCTTTTAATTATTAATTGTAGAAGAAATAGTGAGAAATTTCCACCCTGGCTTCTATATATATTCAACATTTTCATTTTCATTTTGTTTTTTAGTCCAATTACAGTGCATTGCAGCTGGTAAGGAGACAAGGCACAAATTTGTGAAATGTGAGCCCTTGTGACCTTGGTTATGCATCTTTTGCGTCTATAACTTTATCTCTGACTCAATGTTGTTTCTTGATGAATAAAGCTTAAATTCCGTTATCTCTGTCTCAATTTTGTTTCATCATTAATATATTTTCAATCCCGTTATCACTAACTCAAGTTTGTTTCTTGATCAACATAGCTTCAATCCCCAATTTTCTGGTTCCACTAGTAACGTTTAGAGCTCCTCTGGAGGAATTTGAGAATGTTAGAGCTGTTGCACTGTCTGTGATAGGCATTCTATGCCAGGTAAACTCTATTTTGATGTTTCTAGCATTTTAAGGATTTTTTGTGTCGTGAAATGAAGTCTTGAACTTTCATCCTGGAGATTGTATTGTTTTGAAGGCAAGAGAATCAAACATCATTCAATGGGCTGTGGAAAGTAACATGGTGGAAGTATGCCGGATTAGTGTAGAGATCGGAAACGAACTCTCCAAAGTGGTAGTTTGCACTTGCATTACTCTTTGTTACTTGTTGCTTAGATAAGTGTTTGAGTACAATATGATTCTCGAGCTATCAGGTCAGCAATACAGACAGTGATCGTTTGTTTGTGCTGCAGAACTGATAGGTTATCTGAAAATTAATCAATTCCGTGGTTTATGAAATATACCTACTTATTTATTTTTGCCAACGAAAATATATTTATTTATGAACTAAAGTTAACATACATCACTAAACTTGGCACATGAATCGACTTTTCTGATAACAAATTCATTTATTTGTTAATTTATTTTTGTGTAATATTTATGCATAACTTGATAGTAATAGAAGCTTGGTTCCTGGGAGAGCTTATTTTATCTTCTTTCAATCTTGGCTCTTTTGGAACGAAGTGTTTTATGATCATGTAGTAATACTAGAAGTCTTCTATGTTAATTGGAGTTGACTAACATTTAATTAGCATTTTTGCCCAGGTAGGAATGTTCATCATTGAAGCCATCCTACAAAACGACTCAGGATTGTCCTACATATGTAATCCCAAGTCTAAACTGCTTAAGAAACTGATGGCAACATGGTATCAACTGGTATTAATGTCTCCTAAACTTTGCCATTATTGTCCCGTTGTTGTCTTGAGCTTAAAATTTCTGTTGTTGTTTTTTTTCCCTCACTTATATAACTTTGTTTTGCTAGGTTACGTATTTAGATGTGGATCAAAGTTTCTCCCCTCGCCTCTTGTTTCATGTAATCCGGTGCTGTTTCCTGTTATGCAATAATATGAGGTAAGATGCAGGTCTCACAGATCTGTTTTGATGATCCAATGCTCTAGCATAAAAGATTTTAGTCTTGGACTCTTGGTACGCGCAGCAAAAAAAAAAAAAAATTTCTGACACCTTTCCCTGTCAGTTGAATCAAACAACATTATTCTAATTTTCAGCATCGTGTCATCTAGGTTTTCATCACTTGTTCTTATCTACACAAGCTCTTTTTCAAGAGAAGGATAAAATCTTTTGGATGTATTGCAATCTCTCACCCTATCTTCTGGTTGCTCGTTCTATGTTAATCAGGGGATATGACATGATAAGAGAGAACCTTCCAGATCCCATCTCAAATGGCTCTTTTCATCCAATAATAAATGTAGGCCTAAGTTTCTTATCTGAGCTTTCTCTAATTTCTAGTATTATGTGATGCTTACATCAAGGAATATGGAATTCATCTCTGAGGTTACTTATGTTTGAGCATCTACTTTTCGGTTTGCCAAATTGTAGGAGTTTCCTGTAATTGGGAGTTTGCTTCAACAACTTCTCCTGACAGTTGATAAGGTCGATAGCAGCAGAACAGCTTGTGAACGCTTGATCAGTGATGGATCATACATAGAGAACTCCATTTGAGGATTCTTTCTCTGTGACCATGAATACAAGAACTAGGCCCTTCAATTTTATTGCTGTGATGGATAGAAGACCAGCTAGTGTAAATAAAAATTGTATATTTGATGGTAAAAAACCATTGTATATTGGAACTACAATGGATAGAAAATTGACTGGAGCAGTTTGTAAATGTGAAAATGCTATGTAACTGTAGTTTTCTGATTCAAAATTCTGTCCCTCTGTTGCTTCTTGGTTTGTTATAGATCCTATTTCAAAATGTTCTATGCAGTTTTAGAAATAATCTCATTGTTACTGCACCATATGATTCTTAGTTTGTGGAACTAGCCATGACACTACTTTTGGATCTCTCTTCCGAGTGTGGTACTCGTGTTTGGAAGGTAATAAACGCAAAGTACTCCGTTTTAACTTACGAGGTTAATATGTTGCAATATCAAGTCTACCGAATAGGCGCGGGCAAAATCCACAGCCCTTGTCCACATTAATTCTTGGGGAATTCTTGGCACTATCGAAAATCATTTTAAATATATTTAGGATTATTCTAAGTATACTTATTAGAATTAAATAACTCCATGACCAAGAGGGAGATCATCACTACAATCCCAAGATGTGAGTGAGGAGACAGCTATACTTACTAGCTAGATCATGAACAACAAAGTAAGAATCCATTATTATGCTTATGTTCAAAACTTTGGGGAGGGGAAAGGTTCAAACCATGAACACCACGAAGAGGCTGGAGATTAAGTTTAATTTTGCTTTACAATTATGCTGTTCTTCATTCTTCTCCCTTAAGAACGTAACCTGTCTGAGAAAAAAATATATCAATGATCCATGAGTAGATTGACCTGACTGAGTGCATATATATGCTACCTATATCTTCTACTTTCTGTTACAATTTAGCTTTCATGGTCACAAAAATTCAGTAACTTGAAGATAATGTCACTGTCTTTGTGTCGTAATAACTTGGCTTCAGAGTCCAAAATGAATTTCATTTTCAGTACTGCAAAAAGCATTCTTGGGGCACCACCACAGTACATGCCTACTCAAAAGGATTGTTAGATTTCTGATTCATTACACTTGGTTGCTGCTGAAACTGTTGCATCAAGAGTTGGTTGTAGGACATGTCTTGTTGGGTAGGCATGTTAGAAGTTAGTGGAGGATGAGGGAAGAATGGAGCTGGAGGGTAAGGTTGCATTGCCCCTTGGCTCTCTGGAACGGCAAATTCAAAGTCACCGGAACCACCAAAGGGATCTTTCTGGTTTCCTCCATTCTCTTGTGTTCCTCTCATCACTTCACCTTCTGATTTGTTCACTCCTTCACCCAGCTTTACAGCACAATAAATAGATGAAAGTAATTATAAAGTTCATGCACTTCAAATAGATTTCATTATATAATTGGTTTAGAGAGTGTTTGGATAAGCTTTTTAGAAGTGATTTTACAGTGTATGAAATAAGCATATAAGATGAGTTTTGTCTCGGCTTACGTGAAATCTCGGGTTCTAGTTTCTAACTTCCAGTAATTTTATATAATGTCATTACTGTTGTTCATGCAGCATACCAAGCAACACTCAATTTGAATTCTCAGATCTTGGGATTTTGTGTAGGGAACAATAATGGTATTCGTATGAAGGACTTACTGATATGCTCTCTGGCTCTGAAACTACATTATCATCTGAAAAAAGTGCAAGTTCCCAACCTGTTTCTTGACTTGCACCATTCTCAAGACTTTCAGCATTCGAAGAATTTTCTGTCATTATTTATGGGAAACATAAACTGCTTAGAACTGTCAGTATTTGCAATCCTATGATGAGTCTAATATTGCTGCAGAAAGGAAAAAAATTTATACCTGCTGGAACAATTGCTAATGCATAGGGATTATTCTCAAATTCAGATGCTCCGGTAAGCAAGTCATCCAGACCCTAATTTAACAAGAAGAATTATGAAGGCTTAGTGGATGATAATGTCACTCTGGGTAAATTTGATGGTGTTCAAGGCTCATTCAACTAAAATGTTTAAAATTTTACAGGAAAAACTATAATTTACTTGAAGTATGGATAATTTTAAACTCAAAACAATTAATCTTAACTAATATTATTATAAATCTCTAATAGGAAAAGGGCAAATTACAAGAAGGTCAGCTACTGGTGGTGCTGCTACAGCCTCATGCTTTGCTTGAGAGTGATTTGAACTTTCTTCTTCACTTTGGTCACCTGGCAAATCACCTTCTGGAGGAGTACCTTGTTCTTTAGTAATCTGATGAAAAATGTGGTTGGCACTTGCAATCATATCGATATGATCTAAGGAGGTAATCGCTATGTAGGAGTAGTAAACGCTTAATTGCAAATATAATTCAAGTCACAAGGAAATTATTCAAATGAATGTTCATTGAGGCGTACTGATATTTCTCTAGGTGCTGCGAGAAGACCTTGATTTTTAACATTAACAGCACATAGTGAAGAATAGATTTCTAGTTTAAGGAATCTCTCTTGCCTCATACATGGATTCGTGCATTAAAGAAAGACCTTATCACTGAGATATGGATTATAATGCTGAAAAATGGTATTTTTCAGCATATCTGAAATGTCTAAATTTGTTATTTTTCCACTCATTGCATGCACTTTCGGTTCAATAATTTGAACGGTGAAAGCTTTTTCATACTCTTTCAGAAAGAACATAATCTTAGAGTCAGTTCTGAGTTGAAGCATCAAACCGGTTGGTGGTCAAGTTCCAAGCTATTTGGAGCCTCTTTAACATAATCCTCCAAAGTAGCCATAAAAGAAGCAGGGGCCTGCAAGACACAATGCATTTCATATCAATGCGAGTTAACTGCTATGCATGGACCCAAATGGTGACACTCAGATTCATTCTTCTTGAAGAAGAACTATACCTCCTTAATACTGACGAATTTCTGACCCCTCCCAAATTCCATTGCCCTGCATGTCTCAAAGAATGAAGCTAAAGATTGTGCCTGCACAAACTCAAGTTCATAGGTGTTAAGAGCACAGTCACACAGATAAAATGTAGCGTTCTTGCTTAAATGATAGACACCTGATTTGCTGATCTTTTATAAATCTCAAGTGCCTTTGTAGCATCGGTTCGGTTCATCTCGAAAAACTGTGAAAAGACTGAAGGCAATGGTAAATTATCTACTAAACAGACAGGCACCAAATGTTTAAAAACCTATCCCAAATTTTGTCCTAGCTTAATCCAATCATTTTACCTTGTCAAGAAGATTGACTACTCTAACTGTTATTGCAACATAAAGTTTAACACTTTCATTAGCAACCTGTGAGTGAACGGACAAGAAGGAGAAAATATGATTAAAGAAGTGTTAAACAAGGTAATTCGAGTATCAAGACTCAGTCTTTCTTACAATTGAAAGGGCATATTGAAGTAAGGCATTGTATAAAGCTGCTCCCCTTGGCTGCAAAAGTGAACACAATGAATGTTTATTCTAGACTTTTTGTTTCAAGATCACCGAGCGTTTAAGAATCGGCAAACAAAAAGTGTATATATGATTGTAACCTTGCATTCAAGAAGCCTAAATTGAAGCTCTTGCATTGGTGGCAATTGCTGCAGCAAATCCTGGGTTTCAAATTTCACGTCTCTCTGTAATTATGCACAAAATGGAAACCACTGCGTAAATAATAATACTAACAACAAAAACAACACAGATTATAATATCAGAAAAAAGTTCATCAAATTTATCAAAGGGTTAATAACCTTGTTCGTTGTCACAGTTTCATCAAATTTTAGTTTTAGTCCTTGTAATTTTACGTCATTGCCTTTGGTCCTTGGAGTTTTATAATGACTTGGTTTTGAGTTTAACAAAGCTTTTAGTTAACGTTATTAAAAATAGAGACCAAAACCCAAATTCGTTAAAAGTACAGGGACAAAAATCAAAATTCATTAAATAAACAAGAGCAGGACAAGTTTTACTTTTGGTCCCTGTATTTTTAACGAGTTTTGGTTGTTAACTCTAACTGAACCTTTATAAAACTATAAGGATAAAAAACTATGATTTGAAATTACATGAACCAAAATTAAAATTTAATCAAACTATAAGAACTAATAATGATATTAACCCTTATTAAAAAAGGTAAAGATAAAAATTTGTCCAAAAAATTTTCACTCAAGAGCGCTAAGTATCCAAAATCTTTTTGGAAGAAAATTTGCCATTAAAACTTAAAATCGTAACAATATTGCCCCGTACCTTTAGAATAGTGATATTGATTGTTAATATTTTTAATGATAAGGGAGCAATATTGCTATGGCTATAAACTTTCAAGACAAATTTGCTACAAGAAAAAAAACTTGTGGATACCCAACGCTCCTAGGTAGAAACTTCCTTGGCAAATTTGCATCTTAATTCCTAAAAAACAGATAGGTACAATCAATATAGACACTTGAATGTGGGCTTTACTGAAATATCTACTAAGTAGAGCTAACATAAGAATTTACACGGAACAGACTCAGGATTGTTTAAAGCACTTACTGAGCTATACGTCACAGGATCATAGTTTAACCTGACAAAGCATCTCAGGCGCTCGTCAAGATAGTGGGCATAACCACGGATCCAAGCAGAAAAATCCAATGCTTGACACAGAAAAAAGATGTACAGTTCAGCAAAACAAACACATAACACAAAGCAAACAGAACTTAAAAAAGAAACTGAAACACCATAACAAGTACCATTGGAACTTGAATTATCTTGATAGTACAAGAGATTAAGCATGTGTTCCCTTTCACGGCTATATCTGATAAACTCTTCCCAAACTGTGTGATCAAGTTCCCTCATTGCTCTATGTATAATGATTAGTGTTTTTAAAGCAACCTGAGTGTGAAATCCAGAACCAAAGAGTAAAAGACACAAACTCTTTCATGACTCACCTGAGAGATACTAAATTACCACCGCATGTACTTAATACAAGAGCTAGTTGGCCAACTTAAGTAAATTAAGAAAGTTTATTAAGTTAGCAATTTGTAATAAATAAATGCTGTCTCCGTTAGAATACCCTTACTAATTATATATATTAGCTAGAACTACTATTTAATGAAATTTTTAATATATAAAACTACTACAATGAATGCTTTTGAAAAAAAATAGATAAATATGAGATAAAGTGAATTTGAGTCTTATATTTAGAACTGACTTGAAAGTCAAATTAACTCTTATATTAAGGATAAGAGATAGTAATACAAAAGATGTCAAAGCTTATGAACAATGTGGCTTGCTGCAAAATTTATACTAACTTCGCTACTTAATATAAAACCCAATTTGTAATTCAATTTCTTCATTAAAACGGTCTTATATCAAAGAGAAATGTAACATTTTATGTGGATATTTAAAAGGTAATATGGTTGGTTAATACAAGTGGATGAGGAACATACAGTCCAGGGGCGTGTTTGGCGTAGACGGCTAGAAAGGCTATATATGCAATAGACCACATCCACGCGAGGCATTGATGGGGAAAGTGCATTAAAAATGGCTGCAAAAATTGTGAAAATTAAAGAAAAAAAAAAAAATCAGCCAAATGTTGGGGTACAAATTACTTTTCAACTTTTTTTCTACAAAATGTCCAAAGCACAATGTCATTTCCCCCCCTTCAATAATAAAATGGTCAAAATATCATAACAAATAATATATTTTTTAATACATTTGTTATGTTTATTAAAAATAACCTTGTGAAAAAGATTTGAACAATTGTATGTAAATGCGTTTTTAATAAAAAATACCAAAATAAAAGATAAAAAGGAAAAAAGAAAGACACATACTCCGAACATGTTTTTCCTTTGGCAATAGTGGTTTGTGGTTTGTGGCTTTTGTAATTGCATAATCCAACACCTGAGATTCATCAACTTCAGATTTTTCACTTTGAAATGATTTGAAAGAAATAGGAGAGAGATATGATTTTAAAAAAAACACACAAAAGAAGTAAAATTTAATATGTAATTTATATAAAAACTTGAAAAAACAAGAATTTAGAGAATAAAAGCACCCTATAAGCACTTCCTCTTGCTACTCTGAAACTTGCTTTATGAAATCCCATGCCACCTGACACTCTCCTGAAATAATTAAATTCACATGTTTATTTTTCATCCAAATTAATTCAATCAATAACCCAATTATATTAAATTAGTTCTAATTTATTTACCTGGAAATCAAATAATTTGCTGCTTCATATGCAGTTAGATACTAATTTTGACCATCCATCGTCAGATCACAGCCAAAGCATACCATATATACTGTCAAAATATATGCATCCGTACAATTGAACTTTTCTGTTATTTTCAAACATATGGATCTGTAAGAGTTATGTGATAGAATTAATGATATATTTTTTAAAATACAAAACCTACAAGCATTGTACTGCCACACCACAGGTAATGATACATATAGTGGAGTTGGGTGATATGGAAAAGCAATAAATATTTTTCCTTTTTTTATAACAACTAAAAATATTTTTCCTTATTCAAATGAATTATTAGTTTTTCACTTCGTCAAATTGAGCTTGATTTCTCTTCCAAGACGGTTTTTTTTTTTTGGTGTAAAACAATAAAAGCATCAACTTGGGTTCAGCACAAAATTCATATATTTTTTTCTTGCTGATTAATTATTCCAACTAATTTACACAATTTAGACTTATTTAGAATGGTTTGACAAAAAAAAAAGGACTTATTTTAGAATGGGTTTTTATTTTTTGATAAAGAAATTAGTTGTGTACGGTCTGAATTAATTGAAGGGTCAAGATTGACTGGAAACAAATAATATTTATTCAATTTACACAATTTAGACTTATTTAGAATAGTTTGACAAAAAAAAAGAGACCTATTTAGAATGGGTTTGTATTTTTTGATAAACAAATTAATTGTGTACGGTCTGAATTAATTGAAGGGTCAAGATTGGCTCGAAACAAATAATATTTATTAAAAAAAGTTAGAAAACTGGGAAATTTGGTCCAAAGTCCTTATTTGAAAATTTAATTAGCTAAAAGAACCTAAATTTCAATGAGTGCAACTATAATCTGTAAGTGTAACTTTTCTTCCGTTATATGCAACATATCATCAATGATGTGCAATAATTATCAATACAAAAATCATTTATACACAACGAAAGAAAAGTTACATTCACATATCATAATTGCATGCACTCAAATTTAGGTTTTTTTAGCCAATTAATTTTTCCAACAGAGATTTTTTAACCAAATTTCCCTCAAAAATTTACACACACACATTCGGCAAAACAAAATCAAAGGCTAATCATTCATGTCCTAATATATTGAAAAGTGAATTATTTTTTCCTTCTTATTTCTTAAGATGCCTTCTTTTTATACAGCTTCTGAGCTTCTCTCTCTCTCTTTTTTTTAATAATAATTGTCCCTATCATGGATTTTTAAGAATTCAAGTGGCTAATATATAATTTCATAAAATATAAAATTCTAATAAATCACACTGATTAATTCATTTCTCATACTTTATGCAACTTGTGAAAATGCAAATCGAAATCTTTTTTCTTTTCCTTTTTTTCCCCCAGTTATATAAGAAAGCTTGAACCTCACCATCTATTAATATCCCACCCAAACTTATCGATGACTTAAGGTTTCTAAGGGATATCATCATCAGCTCACCAAGTTTGTCTCATTGCATGAATCAAAAATTTAAAAATCCTTGTGAATGGAGCTTGTTGAATAATCAACATGTTCAAGAAAAAGATAAGATAATGAAAACCACAAGAAAAAAGGACCTTTTTTTCGTTGTTTTAACTAAGAATCCACAAAACAACAAATCATTAAGATCATGAGAAAAATCCCTTTGAGAAAAACAACATTTGAGGAAACCTACTGGAAGATTCAAATTCTAAGAAACAATATATAATAATTTAGAGACAGACAGAGAGAGAGAGAGAGAGAGAGAGAGAGAGGGTTTGAAGCTTACGTAATTGTTCGTTGTTATCTGCAGGAAAAAACGAAGGGAGAGAGAAGAAATGCAAACGCAGAAGGAGCCTTTTGATTCTTCTTTGTTTTATAATTTAGAATGCGAAATTTCATTAGATAGTTACGTAATTAATCAGAATGATCAGATGTTGAGCCTCTTAGAATTTTCAGAGGTAATTAGAATCCAAAATTTGTGGTGGTCTCATGCAGAATGAATCCATTGGCATGCCTGAAATATTGGAGAAGGACAGGCTTCTGCTACTCTACTCTTTTAAAGTTTTCCCATCAATTTATTATTATTTTTTCCCCTTTTTCCAATTAAGGAAAAATGGCTCAAATGAAATTCCATTCCAAATTTTTTGGCCAATAAATTTAAGTTTCTCTGAAAGGTTTGGAGTACATATTTGACATATTCCATTCTTCCACTAAGACAATTCATTGTGCCTTGGCACTGTCTTAAATTAAATATGCTTGAATCAACATCAAGTTTAGTCTATCCCCATCTAATACTTATTCCTTCTTCCAGAAATTTCAGAAAATGCTGCTTTGATTTATTCCCCTAATAATGCTCACAAATGATGTTTTTATGGTGGTCGTTGTCGCCGTATGGTATAACGGTTTGTGCCAACATAAGAAAAATAATTACATTTTAAGATTCCAAAATTTTAAATTGTCGATTAAAGATTTTGGTTCTTTACTGACATTTAAAAAAAAAAAAAAAAAGCACCCTGCTCGCATAGAGTTTACAAATCCAAGGAGCTTGAATCGAAATCTCCAATAGGAGAGTTAGAAATGTTAGAATTTAGAAATCTCATCCGAAATTATTTTCACATAAATTACTCAACAACAAACAATATATGCAATCTGAGAATGCCAGAATAAACAATGAAAAAGAAAAAAATTGCCCAATTGAAATTAAACAATTCCAACAAAGACATATATTCTTAAGTTTATTCCCCTAGACCAATTTGTTTACCACAATCCTCAAGTTGCCAGCGCCCAATACAAATTCAAATTCTCGTATTTTCCCACGTCACTTTCTTCTTTTTATCAAACATATGCGACTTTGTCGGTCGCCCCACTCAACATGGAAGGTATTCCCAACTGGAACAAAACCAGAATATGCTAATTAATACATGCCAATAAAAGCACATTTCATAAATAAAGATAAAGTATAAAAGGTGACACCAAGAACAAAAGGAAGCAAACTAGAAGATATTCATATACAAAATTGGAAATCATGGACGGCAAGCAAACTTGGGAAGAAAATCTGCACATGTTTCAACGTTTTTCTCCCACTTCTATTTCATGTAAAAATAAGTAATGACACAACCAAAGAGAGAGTAAAGCCTAAAAGAAGAAGAAATAAAAGAGACAGCAAGAAAAGTGGCGCGTGACCCTGCAAAAGCATGGATTGAAAATGACATCTACCGGCTAAAACTTGAACTGAACATCATCAACAAAAAACTCATGTCCTGCTTCAGACTTAGCTTGAGAGTCCCATGATGTTCTTCCTTCCACTCTTTTTACAGTGTTGCACATCCACCCACCTGCTTTTTTGGAATCTTGAACACTCCATCCAGAAACTCATTAACATGAACAATACTTAATACTATTTACAATTACAGTGCAAGCCCTAGATGATCAAATTTCATAACAAGTCTGTACACACCATTATATGCCGGGGGTAAAAAAGTAAAGTTGATATACCCCCATCAAAGAATTTTTGATTATGACCTGAAAAAATATCATCTTGCTTCTGTTTCTCCGTTCATCTTGGACCAGAGAGTTCCATGGCATAGGAATCCAAAGAATGTACATCATCATCATCATCCACTGCCATGCCAAACATGTGGGAACGATC